AAAATGAACAAGTGGTCGGTCACAAGATTTGGCTAGGTATCCAAGTGTAGCTCTACCGAGATCGTGTGAAGGAAGGGTACACCGAAAAGTTGGCTCATCCCTGGCATGGTCCGTTTCAAGTTTTGGAGCTGGTCGGTATATATGCGGCGCGGTTAAAAGTAAGGGATACGAAGAATTTTTTTTTCTTGATTATTCACATTTAATACTGATCTTCCAGGTTACCGGCTATCAGTGTACGAGGCCTATCGGATCTACTTTATTAAAAGATTGTTGCTAAATAATTGCTGGACGCGCGAACTGGAGGAAGGCGAATACGAAGTGGAAATGATTTTAGAAAGCCGTGTCAGCAAGAAGACGCGATACGGTCGGCAACAGCGCGTGTAGTGGAGCTACCACAGCTCTAAAGTCATATGAAGAATTTACGGGTTAAGTTAGAGGCTTACATCTGACAATCAATTGGTTTTAAGGAGATAGTGTGGCAAGTCAAATATTTCCTGGTTATATGGAACATAGCGCGGACTCTATGAGCTATTACATCAGACTACTGTAGTTCTAAGGAACTATACGCACAATGTAAAAGGAGAATGCAGGAGTCTAAGGAATCTCTATCCCACGACAGTTCTAAGAAGTATCAAGCGCAACGTGCAAAGGGGGGGGGGTCTACGGGCTTCCGCTCAAAATGAGTACTGAGTTTATTTAGTTTATATATCAAGGAAAATCCTACTTTGACATTTTTTTTACTAAACTAGAGCTAAGACAAATATTATTCTTCGAACCAAATGGATGGTTGGAATATCACTCAGTCATCAAATGATGACAATAAGAAGTACTTCCACGGTAATTGCCGTAACTCGAAGAATACCGACTAATCGGTATTCTCTCCTGATATAAAATCTGAGGCCACACTTGTCTCCCATATCACATATGGGATGTCTCTAGCCAATTTAGCCGATGGTTAGTATGATCCCGTTACACGTTCCCCCACCATATGACGTTATCACGAAACATCACTCGACTCGTCTCCTCGTTAAGGTTTTTACTTCGTAAATTGTCATCATGGACCGACCTAGACTCCTAACGGAAGATAAATCTAGCCGAATACCTTGGTGTCGAGGAAGTGGACGATAGCAGTGGTAGTGTTACCGCCACTCAGGTGTTGAAGCATCCTAACCCAGCCAATCTGTGCGTGACCGTACCTCACGTCAGGAAAGGTATCCGTTCCCTGAACGTGGCGCAGCGACTGCGCTAACAGCGCTGGGTGCGATGCTTAACATGGACCCATCCATCATAAGTTACGTACTTGAAGAGGAGCAACAACGCATACTCGATTATGCGGAAAGTGCACGGCGCAAGTCAAAAGTTCTTAGCCACTTAAGCGACATCGTGACTGTACATTCACTATGCCTGACGTGGAAGAACGCATTCGTCAAACAGCTGGCCAAATTTTGGCAGGGTGGAACACTGGCACCGAGGCGAAAACGTTCATCGAAATTAAATGCCGTAAGGCTCTTCAGAAAAGGTATGTGGAACCTGCTGTGATGATCTTGAGTGAGTATCGAGAAAGACTCCAGACACAGGCCGAAGATACACCGGCTCCACCAATAAAGGGTATACCCGTCCAAATGTCTGAGGGTGCGGACGACATCTCAGAGGATAATGCGTTCATGCGCTGGGTACATGGCGTTCGATGCCTGGGTAGTATGATAGCTCTGAGAGCAAGTGCCAGTGTGGCAGACGTTCTTTTAAAGCTTCGCTACGACTTCGCAAAGTAAAGGCCAAAGGCCGGCTGAGGGGAATATCTCATTCCCGCTATGCGTAGGCTGCTCCTGCAGCCGCGACTTTACGTCAGTAACTTTACACAAACCCCTCCCGCTCTCTGACTAGTGAGAAGCGTCGTGCTCGTCAATACGGGCCTGATCGTGGCGCTTAAAAGCGTCCACGGCGTACGGGCAGTCTTGCCGAAGGGGTCACTAAAACTAACCTGAGTTCTCAGACTCGGGATACCCCCCACCACTTCACCAGGTATTGGTAGTCACCATAACGACGACGTCGTTGGAGTAACTTCTCTACATGAAGCTAGAGGTTCCAATGCCTATCAAGCAATGCCGGTGGTGTTCGGTGTATCGGCTGAGAGCCACTCGAATCTATTGAAAGATGTGAAAAGCGTCCGTGAGACTTTGGTCAAACCCAGCATGCTCTGAACGAATCGTACTCTCGTCTGGCGACGCTTAAAGGCGATAACACCCATCTTTAGACGGTGGAGACATGTCTAGGCGTTAGCAAGGAGACAAAGGAATGCAAGGTCCTCCTCTAGAAAAAAAATTAGGTGGTCGTCACACAACACGTAAAGAACATATCCACGCTGTCCGACGCTCAGAATGCTCAACTGCAGCGCGCGATGGAGGTTATAGATCAAGAAGAAGAAGCGGAAGAGGCAACACCACTAGCAGAGGCGAAAAGTAGGACTCACGACGACAATAGAGGAGCGGAAGATGGTCGCGGCGCTCGCAGGAAGAGCAAGAAGCATCGGGCGCCACAAGCGCACGGGACGCACGGCGCGTCAAAGCGTGAGCAAGCAGCTGCGCGCCGGAGATGCAAACCGCGAGTGACTAAGTCGTCAGCGCATCCTTCGAGCGCGATCCGCGTAATTAAGGCAAGGCCATACGCATCTTGAAGCGCGCGGAGTAGCAGGAGGCAATGCAAGAGTAAATCGCTGTGCTCGAGAGCAACGATGTGTGGTGCGTGATGAAGCGCAGCCCGGGTGCGAGCGCTCTTCACATTAAGTAGGTATTTAAACCAATACTGGACCCGACGGAGAGCTGGAGAAATATAAGTCGAGGCTTTTCGCATGCGGAAATGCGTCAATTACAACCTAACCTTTGCCGCCGTGATGGACATATCGACAGCAAAGGTCGTGCTGGCTCTCGATGCAACGTGGGGCGTTCCTGACAAGCACGGAGACATCCCGAATGCACACGTGCGTACCGGACACGAAGCTCACCTCGATATCTGCCTGCAGGTGCTACGTGGGATGAGCGTGTCAGAGAGTACTCTGCACAAGGTAGGCGCCGCGCATCCAGGCGAGGTCGTCTTGAAGCTAATAAGGAGCCTGCACTTGCTGAAGCAAGCCTGTCGCCTCTTAAAGCCAGTTGCTCCACGCGCGACTCAACGATGCAGGGCGCGTGCGATGTGCTTCCGACATGTGTCAGTACTAAAAACGCGACGGCGACGAGCTGGTCGTTGTAGACGCCTACGTCGAGGTCCTACTGGCGACGGGAACGAGTGTCGCGGCGGTCGAGAGTCTCTTCGCGAGCCTGGTGTTGCTGTATATCAAAGATCTTGGTCATCATGATCGTAAGTTTCTGGGGATGCGAGTGGAGCTCGGAAGTGACGGCGCATATCGCATTGACCAGGAGAAGGCCATCAAGCGTGCTCACGGGATGAGCGACGTGAACCTGACGAAGACGCCAATAGATGAATGCTACGAGATTGTAGGCGACGATGCCGCGCTGCTGGAGACGAATAGTGCAGGCGGTAGTGCGACGATTAATGCGTTTCAGTCACTCGTCGGGAGCCTGCTGTGGGTCGCGCGGTGCTCGAGGCCAAACATTGCCTTTGCTGTGCACAAAGCGACGAGGCAGACGCACGCGCCGCGAGTGCTTGAATGGAAGCTTTCCAAGCGTGTCACGCAATAACTTAAGGGCGCCGTGACGTTCAAGGTCCCGATGGCCCCGGCGCGAACGAGTCGCGACACGTTGCAGCTCGAAGACTACAGCGACGCTGACTACGCAACGGACAGGGCGGATCGCAAGTCGCTATCGGGAAGCGCTGTGCTACACAATGGTATGGCGGTATCGTGGACCGCGAAGAAACAGGGCGGGATAAGTCTATCAACAACGGCGTCGGAGTTCGTCGTGGCGTCGGAAGTGGCGCGCGAGCTCATTGGTTTGCAATAGATGCTCGGAGTGGTGGGCATGGCGCCGATTGTCCATATTCTGATGTACGTGGACAACCAATTAGCCATCAGCCAGATCACAGGCAAAACCTCATCGATCAAGGCCAATTACATCGACATTAGGCATAAGCGTCTGCGCGACCTCGCTCAACGCGGTATCGTCACGACGAAGCACGTTTCGTCCGAGCTGATGCTCGAGGACCTGATGACGAAGGCCCTTGATGCGATCAATCTGGAAATGCTGCAGAGTCTGATGCGGTTCCATCAAGATCTGGATGCGATGAAGGGTCGGAGGAGAGAGAGAGAGGGCAAGAAGGTTGCGTCGGAGTGTGCTTCATGGTCGGGGCGCGCGTAAGGAGCTCAAGGATGAAGAAGCTTAAGGATGGGGGAGCGCAAGTAACCTGTGCAAGCTTAAGAAATGATAGGGGTGTGAGGACAATTTACGACCGAGGAAGAGCGTTGAAAATGTTGAAGTTGATGAAAGTGGGTGCGTGGTAAATATTAATAAAAAAGCATAAATTTTTATGAAAGTAATAATACAGGTCTAGTCAATGTAATAAATATGGACTACTTTTTATAATTTCATAAAATTAGTATTAAATCTAAAATCCAATTGAAAAAGTAAATCTTGTAAAAATTTATGATTGCTGGTGTGTGTTTTTCATAAAAAGCAAATATTTAAAATAAAGCCGTCATAAATAAAATAAAGCAATTGCTTCTGTTTAAGTAAAACCTAAAATTACAGCTCTTATCAGTTCTGTTTGAAATGAAGGATTTCTTCTTTCTTTGGTTGACAGCTTAATTTAGTTCTCCGGACTATATTGCATGTATGAAACGATGGGCCAATAGCCTTTTTCGTCTTCTTCTCGAATGGTGTAAATAGACTGCTACAAAAAGATCAAGTTTTAAACTATCGAGCGCTGGTGGAAAAACGTTTTGAACAGGGACTTTGAACCTTAATCCCTCGTTCAGCCGGTCGGCCTTCGTCCATTTATTTCGCGCTTCTCTTTCGTGTTGAGAGGGCCAAACAACACGTGTGCACACAATGCCGGACCCGCTCGTCAAGTTGTCGTCCACCAGGCCAACTGTCCTGCGGCTGATACTGTTGGCTACTTTAGTCTACGCGATATTGATAGTAGTGTGGATGATATCTAGTCAACAGTACTTCTTATCTACGCCCGTACAAGTAGAGGCAGAAAGTCGTGCGGCATTAGCCCAGAACCTCTCACTTAAAGTTTTGGAGACAGAGGCCCCTATAGTGACCGTCAAGAACCCTCCAATCAATATGTTCAAGACAGAGGCCTCGGCAGTAACCGTCAAGGACCTTTCACTCGTGGATGGGGTCACATTTCGAGCAATCGATGATTTGCGTGCGGTTCGTTTCGCAGCTAAGGTGCATGCGATTTACAATAGCGCTTTCGACCAAGTGCTGTTCCTGGATGCGGATAACGTTCCAGTGCGTGAACCGGCTTTTTTATTCGAGTCTGAAGAGTTTGTGAGAACTGGAGCTGTGTTTTGGCCGGACTATTGGCACCCGCAGAACAGTATCTTTCACCTCGTCAAAGACTCATTGTTGGGCCAAATGCTGGATATGCAGTACGTTGACATGTTCGTGCAGGAAAGTGGCCAGCTCTTGATTGATCGAAGACGCCACGCTGCTGCCATGGTGCTCGTACACTTCTACGCTTCTCATACCCCTGACCTATTTGAGCGTCTCGATCTGGTGTGGGGGGACAAAGACCTTTTTCGATTCGCGTGGATCAAGCTAAATGCGTCGTTTTCTATGGTTCAAACTTTAGCTGCAGTCGCTGGCAAGCTTGTGAATGAGTCATTTTGTGGTATGACGATGGCTCAACACGATTTTGGTGGAAACGTGCTTTTCCTTCACCGCAATGCCAACAAACTGACTGGGCGACGACAACGTTACAACGTGAATCACGTGTTTGGTCCTCTAGAACCCGACAACCTACCGGATCCAGTTATTTGGACGCATCTGTGGTCATTTCGAAACTCGTCGCGTCGGAATGATTACAGGATTGAGTCATACAGAGCACCTCCAGAATTTCCCGTGTGGCAACGGTGTTCGGGCAAGCGCCACCTTCATGACAACGTGCTGTTTTCCACACAGAAATTCGCAGACCTGAGCTTTTCTGGACTTGAGACGCATCTCAGGCGTTTCGCCATGGAAGGCGTCCAACAGCTGCGGAGATTTCAGGCTGCAATGAAGAACGGAACACACTGGGGTGTGTGACAGTCCAAACGGAAGCCGCGTTATGGTATGTTCATTGTCATGACGAAGAAGTGTTGCAACAAGTCGAAGCTTTGCTCCTTGTACCGCGGTCATGCGATGACCGGTACCAAATAACTGTATGGCAAATAAAAATTGGACTTGGATGCACAATTCTTCGACTCGAACGCTGTCGACTACTGGTGTTGTACATTTTTCCCTTGCAAACTCGACGTGCGGAGACGTATGTGTCGAATCGACGGAGCACTTTTGTGGTTCACGTTTCGTTAATGGCATGTCTGTCATCGCTGAAAGAGCTTCTGGAAGTAAAAGTTGCCGACAGTGTCAAGAGTCTGGTGCAAACGTTACTGATCTCTTGCCTCCTTGTCACACAGTCGAATGACAGACCTTTTTTCTCTTTGTTTGTACAGTCCTACAACAGCTCTACTGCCTTGAAAAGGACAGATTATAGCAGTCCGGCCCTGATGAAGCGTTCAGAGCGCCCATCTCAATCTCGGATCACATCGTCTGCATCGAATCGTTACTGACCGCGACATCTCGTACCAATCGAACCGCAACAACAATCCAATCCAACAATTGTCACGAGGTCCCCATCCGCTTCCCTGAGCGCATCAATTGACTGGCTGAAAGGCATCCCGACTCCCTCTCAAGCGCCAGACCAAGATGAAGGTCGTCACGTGTGCAGCTCCCACCAACATCGCCGTGATCAAGTACTGGGGCAAGACCGACGCGGTGCTCAACACGCCCCTGAACTCCAGTCTCAGCGTGACGCTGCACCAAGACCAACTGCGGGCCACGACGTCCGTTGCCAGTGGATCAGCTCTGAGCCGCACGCGGCTGTGGCTCAATGGCCAGGAGCAGCCCCTCAACAGCCGCGTGACGACTGTGGTGCGAGAGATGCAGCAGCTGGCCCAGCGCGTGCATAAAGCGGCGCAGGAGACGCAGCAGCCGCTGCTTATCGTGTCCAGCAACTCGTTCCCGACGGCGGCGGGACTCGCCTCGTCTGCTGCTGGCTACGCGTGTCTCGTGGCCGCGTTGGCTGAGTTCTACCGCCTCTCGACGGCAGACGAGGAGTTTCCAGGCCAGTTGTCGGCTATCGCACGGCAAGGCTCGGGGTCGGCCTGCAGGAGTCTGCACGGCGGCTTCGTGGCGTGGCACAAGGGACAGCGGAGCGACGGACGGGACTCGGTCGCGGTGCCAGTCGCTGACTCGCTGCACTGGCCGGAGCTCCGTGCCGTCGTGTGCGTCGTGAGTGACCAGCAGAAGGACACGAGCAGCACGCGCGGCATGCAGAGGACCAAGGCCACGAGTCCTCTGCTGGCGTACCGGGTCGAGCACGTGGTGGCCGATCGCATGAAGACGATGGAGGAAGCCATCTTGGCGAAGGACTTTGCAGCGTTCGGGACGCTCACGATGCGAGACAGTAACCAGTTCCACGCCACTTGTCTCGACTCGATGCCGCCAATTTTCTACTTGAACGAGACTTCACGAGAAATCATCCGACTCGTGCACCGCTACAACGAACAAGCTGGTCGGGTACAGGCAGCCTACACCTTCGATGCGGGGCCGAATGCTGTCCTCTTTGTCGAGGAGCAGCACGTGCAGGAGCTCGTGTCGCTCGTATGCCACTGCTTTTCCGACTCTTTGAACATGACGATCAAGGCCTCGATGTCTTTTGACTGCACGCCGTCACGCGCGCTGCTTGAACGGATGCAGTCGAAAGCGTGTGGCAGTAGCAAGGAGACTTTTGAGCTGCCGCATCTCCCTGACAGCGTAAAGATGATGTACGTGTCTCGTGTTGGTGGTGGCACGCGCGTACTGTCCGCAGACGAAGCGCTGATTGATGCGGTTACAGGCGAGCCGCTGTTCTCCCGGACAGCGGCGTGTAGCCATCCTATGAGCAAGCCCAGATCCTGCCTGCGTAGTGACCAGTTGCTGCATTACGTGGTCGCTGCTGTTGCTGCCATCGCAGTGACCGGCGCGGTGCTGCTGCGCAAATGAAATGCAGACTGATCCACCACGACCCAAGCAATACACTCACCACAGAATGAACGCAGCTACGGGTCCCTCTATGCTTCGTGAGTCAGCCTGGCCTTGACTCGCACAACTTCCGACGTACATTGGCTCATCATCCATCACCGTTTGGTACCATCGAACTACAGTGGCAAGCAGCAGCACTACCAGTAGCCCAAGCTTCGCAAGACCACTACTTGATCGATCGCAGGTGAACGTCCGCAGAGCATCCATTGTCTCTGTAGTGCACGAAAGACGTCCGTTGACATCCACTTTTCGTCCACATCGTCGTGCTCGTCCACGCTCGTTTGCCTGCTTTCAGCGTCGCGATTTCATGGTAAAAAGCACCAAGCCTCTGGGTACTGCACTCGCTGTCGCAGTCGACTAATTGTGCGTCGCCTTACTGCAAAGAAACACGGTTTCAGCTTGCGGTCAGCGCACTGGATTCTCAGTCTTGTGCGTGGAGAAGGACCGTTTTGTCCCCCTCGAGGCTTCCAGCAGCTTCTGCTTGTGGAAAGCCACGTGCACGTATGTGCAGCAGCTTGAAGGTATCTACGTGTGCGCTTGAGCATTATGCTCGGACATCTGTGCAGCTCCCGCCACGGCACATTTCGACGGGACGAGAGTCTCCAATGACTAGTCAGGTTCCGCTTGGCGAGAGTAGGCGGTGCTAGCGCCTGATCCGATGAACAGTAGCGTGGCAGCTTATGTCCACACGATAAGTCACGACGCGTTGCCTCTGGAAGCTGCAGATGCGTGGTGACCTCCTGTCTAGCGGCTGCAACAACTCGCCTCGTACGAGCTACTTCAAGCGTCACGATACAGCTGTTCATGTTCACGCAATCGTCAAGCCACATTGTCATGAGTACTCGCAAGTTTTTCGTTGGATTTGAAGCAAGTGATGCTGTTCAATGTGGTCGATTGCATCGGCTCATCACGCCACATTAAATCGAAACGAAACTCATGGTACTCTGGCCCATAAGATTAGGAAATTGTTGTTTCCACCACACTTATACTGTTTCCACCACACTTATACTGTTTCCAGCACACCCAGTAATTCTTAATAGGCGCACCACACCACACGAATCTACAACGCGCACACATCACTCCCACTCCCGCCTTCATCGACGATCTCCGATCCAAGCACCCTCAAATCGCCAAAACGGCTGTGCCAAATCAACACATACGGGTATGTCTACATGTAATTGATTTGACCCCTATGTAACGGGGTAGCCCGTTACATGATAATGACACCAAACGGTGTCAATAGGGATATTGTCTAGCATGACAATATTCTACCAATATTATCCGAGATGGATAATATTGAAGCAATATTATCCTCTTTTAGGATAATATTCATGTGATGCTCCAAGATTGGTTGATATAAGACATATCAACCACAGATTACTACCAATCGCTGCTAGACGCGCGCAATGAGTGGTGAGCAGGTTGTCGTCATGCGGCGGCGTAGCTTGACATAGTTAGATAAATACTGAAGTTATATTGATAGCTTAACGATGTTAAATACAGTTCTCGTTTTACCCTTTACTCAACATATTTGTTGAGTAGATTAGCTTCCTCTGCACGTACTAGTGTACGTGAAGTTTCGTGGCACCCCAAACAAAGAGTGCCCCGTTACACCTGGTAGCACTTTGTAGTCCGTCCAACGACTACTTAGTGTCCGTCCAACATGAACATGTTGGACGTAGAAGACGACAGCTTTCACGTCACACGTGAAGGCTACTCCTATCTGAGTGTTCAGAATGGGAGGTAGTCGGCCGCATGAGTGTGCACATGGGCGAACCCGCCATCAGCATGTTGGAGTCTCTAAGCAGAGATCAGCAACATGCTGCTATCAACAAGTTCCTACAAGGGGAACTTGCCGTCGAAAGACAGAAAATTTCCTTGCTACAACAGCAAGGCTCTCATCAGTCGATGAGTGGGCCGACGCAAATGCGTCGACCCAAAACCTTGAAGAATGATATCTCAAGGTACAAGGGAATCGATGAAGATTCCTTTTGAAATGGTTCGTCGAGTTAGACGACACCATCAGGGCCCGTCACATCGAGGGTTACGAGATGCAAGTCACCTTCGCCCTGTCAAATTTGACAGGACGAGCAAAGACTTGGGCCTTAGGGATCAAGCAAAACAACTTAAACGTGTTTGGGTCGTTGGAGACCTTGAAGTCCCGGCTTAAAGAGACGTATGAGCCACTACGAGCCGAGTTCAGAGCACGCTCTGCACTCTTGAGGCTAAAGCAAGGTAAGCATGATGTGCATGCTTACGCACAACATCTACGCTAACTTGCGAGTAGCATCACGGAACACCCTGTTGATGAGCACACGCTCATCAACGGGTTCGTCTACGGCCTTGTAGATGGGCCGGTGAAGACCTACATGGTCCGAGAAGACTTCCATACGCTGGAAAAGGCGATAACGTATGCGGAACAAGAAGACTTCAGCCTGAGACAGTCTCAGGCTAACTCGTCAAACTATCGTCTGACGAGACGACAGGAAACAGGAGTTTCCGACCAGTGGTCCTCTGTTATATCGAGAGCGAGAACTCTCGCTCTCCGAGTCACAAGCGAACGGCGAGATGCCATCGCTGTCAGAAATTAAACACTACGCTCATGGGTGTAGTGTCCCAAGCACCGCATCGCGTCCAGAGACAGGACGTGATGACCACCGTTGGCCAAGGAAAGGTCCAAGGCGTGGGTTCGACCATGTCGCTAAGTCGCGACAGCAAGTCGGACCGCAAAAAGCAGTCAGGGTCAGTAGGGGTGGGTCACCCTGCTGATCCAGCAACGTCAAGAGAATTTGCAGGACTCTTGACGAAGATTGCTCCAAACACACAGTCGCTGTGTGTTACTGCCCCTAGTGATGAGGTGTCCTCATCACTTGAAGATCGAAATGACAAGTGGAATGTCACGTTGCGCCCTAGTTAACTGTGTGGCGTCGAACAGTTTTATTCGACGCCAGTTGCTAGGGGGAAAGTAGGCTCAACTATGCTGAGCGAGAGTTCCCTCCAACGAGGATGACGATGTGCCTTGCTACAGGCGCATCCGTAACAGTGGACAAAAGTGTAGTGGGAACCCACTACACGCTAGAAGGAAAGCAGTACGATGATGACTTCATCGTACTGGATTTGGATAAATATTTAGTGCCATCCTCGGTATGCCATGGATTCGAAAATACCAGCCTTGGATCAGCTGGCAGCATCGGTCTGTTAAGATGCCATCTGTGTTTGTTCATCAGATGGCCATCTGATGAACGTCTTTGGGCGTCCACAAGCGCGTGGATGTACTACGAGTGAGTGTGATGGCCTCACTTGTGGTACGGTCGTTAGTATGACTGCACAAGATCAAAGTGTAGAATGCCACTACACTGTGGAACCAGCTTCCGGCACCTGTGTAGAGACACAGGATGCACTGAATGTTCACCACTAGAAGAGATCGAGTGGATTGGAACACGAATGCACACCAAGAAGGGTGCATTCGAGAAGAGAGATTAGTGCTGTTCAGAATGAACAACACGTTGAAGCAAGATCGACTAACAGAGAGTCGATCGAAGAGGACGTGACTGTGGTAGTACTTTTACAGTCAGTACACGTGTTGGAAGAAAGTTCTGGCGTTCCTGAGAGTAATAACTCCCGAGAGAGTTATGTTGATAATGTGGATCCCCAACCACCTGCGGATGTGTTTCCTCAGGAAATCACCGAGACAGTGAATGTCTTGGTGAATGAAGGATCAAGTTTAGGCACTTATACACTTGATCGGGTTACACCTCCGAAGTCAGCTTCGGAGGTAATGAAGTTGTCCACGCTAAAAAGTAAAGGTTTTTGCGAGATCTGCGTAGTGACAAGATCAATACGATCTGCTTAAACGTCGCAGAGGACTAGTACGTCGCCGATATTTGGTCGGCACAAGTGTTTGCTGAGAACGAACGGGTTCTCAGTAGCTCATCGATGGACGAGAGTGTCCTAGATGAGAAGACTTGGATGGAGCGATACACGTCTCAATCTAGGGAGTCTTTGGAGACAAATTCTTTGTATAAGGATTTGGTTGAATTCAGGGATGTTTTCCTTGAATCCGTACCATGCGAGCTACCTAAGGACAAAGGTACTCGGCATGAGATCGAACTGAAACCCGGTTCGAAATACTGTGTCATGAAGCAGTGGCCACTGCCTCGTGAACAGTTCACAGCGATCGACAAATTCTTTGCCGATCGATTAGCGGCTGTTCATGTGAGGGAATCAACATCCCCACACAGCTCTCCGACCTTCTGTGTGCGAAAGGCCACAGGAGGGTTGCGGATAGTGCACGTGTTCAACAAATTGAATACGACAACGGTACCGTCTCAAATGCCGATACTAAGGAAAGATTTCATCATAGATGGTATGGCAAAGAGTACCATCTTTTTCGTCCATGGATCTGATAGATGGATTATATCAGATCCTCATGCGTGAACGGGACATCCTGTACACAGCATTGAGCACCCCCAGTGGTATGCTCTGGGGAGTGGCTAGTGATGCAACAGGGATAAGTAACGCCTCTGCAACGTTCAACAGATGTGTTACGAATCTTTGCGATCGGCACGAGATTTTGCACCGAGTTACTTCGACGATGTCTTCGTCCATAGCCGGTCTATGGATGGAAAGATGGAAGTGGAGGCTCATAGAATCCACTTCCGGAAGGTTCTTACACTTATGCGTGAGCATAAGTTGTTTGCGAACCTCAAGAAGTGCATATTCGCAGCGAACAGAATACCACTTTTTGGCTGCATCGTGGGTAACAAAGATTTACTCCCTGATCCGGAAAAGATCAAGGCGATTAGCAACTGGCCTGTGCCTGTCGACGTCAAGGACTTCGAAAGTTCCTTGGCTTGGTGGCGTACTTGCACAAGTAATCGCGCAACTACGCTGAGATGATCTTACATCTCTCTGGTCTGCTAAAGAAAAACGAGAGGTGTTCATGGAGTGCTGAGTGCCAGCACTTCTTTGAAGTATCAAGAAAAGGTTGATACAATAGCCTGTGTTGGCGATTGCAGACCAGGTCAGACCGTTCCATGTGGTCTGTGACGCCAGCGATTTTGCAATCAGCTGCGCGATAATGCAGTACGACTCAGACGGCGTTGAGCGCGTCGTCTATTATCAATCGCATCAGCTGCAAGCAGCTGAGCGTAATTACCCGGTGCATGACAAGGAGCTCCTTGCCATGAAATATGCACTGGCCAAGTTTCGGGTATATCTCTTAAGAGATAGGCCCTCCATCGTTTATACCGACCATGCGTCATTACGCACGGCCATAAACAGTCCACACCTCTCGCAACGAATGGCGAGGTGGCTGTCTTTCTTCGCGAAGTACAACTTCTCCGTCGAGTGTAAACCCGGACGACTTAATGTCGTTGCTGATGCTCTCTCGCGTCGGCCCGATTTCTATTCGACTGCTCAACGCAACAGTAGGGATGGTCCCACTGTAGAGACACTAACAGTGAGTGTTCCGTCGTCTAATCTGCTCGATGACATGCGATAATCATACGCAGAAGATGAGTCTCTTCTGCGGTTGATGAATTATGTAGCCAATCCATGCAGTCAAGCTTCGAAAAGATTTTCGTTTCAATACCACTCTTCAACCGAACGGTATTCGGTTCTTGATGGACGGCTGTACTATACAGCAGTCATCGGCGACAAACCTCGTGTCGTGATTCCCGCTGATAATGATTTGCGACTGCGCATCATGTATGAGTCTCACGATAGCCCCAACAGGTGGGCATCGCGGTAGAGAAAAGACTTACCTCACGGTAAGTCGTGACTTCTACTGGCCCCGCCGGTACGAGTTTGTGCACAAATACATTCGTGCTTGCGAAGTTTGTCAACGGGTGAAGCCTAGTCCTTCATTCCGAGCACCATTGCAGACTCTACCGATTCCAGAAGAGTGTTGGCAGTCCGTATCGATGGACTTTGTCTTTGGGTTTCCCAAAGACGCTCACAAGAATACTGGTATTCTTCTGTTTGCTGATCGGTTCAGCAAGATGGTACATCTTGTTGCTGTACTGGAGTCAATCACAGCCCAGGGCTGTGCTCGTGTTTTCATCGATACTATCTTCCGACTTCACGGGTTACCCCACGAGCTCGTGTGTGATAGAGACCCCCGCTTAACAGCGGAGTTCTGGCAATCCGTGTTCCGTTCACTTGGAACACGTTTGAAGATGTCGACTTCTGACCATCCAGAAACAGATGGTCAGACAGAACGCGTCAACCGCGTCCTCGAAGAGATACTTCGAGGGCATGTCCACTCGTTTACGAGTTAACGTGTTTTCTTGCCGACGGCGGAACTCGTCATCAACAACTCGGTGCATTCGTCTACAACGCATACACCGTTCTTCGTGAATGGCCTACGCCATCCACGTTTACTCGCCTTCTTAAAGTGTGACTTTAGTTTGAGGGGGTGTGGACTCGCTCGAACAAAACCCGATCTGGTTCTTGCTCATCACCCGTCGACAATGATGTCGACGTGATGGATGCCGATGTCGATGCGATCGATATTGACGATGATAATGACGACGATGCTGGTATGTTTGGCATCGCTAAAGTGAGGACGATGACGTCCTCACTGGTGAAGACAACGTTCTTTAGCAGTGCACACGCAGCGCACTGCTGTTGACAAGAATGAATCAGCAGAGGAATTTCTGCTGACTCGCGAAGCGGTTGTCCGCTTCGTTCAAGACTATACTGCAGATTCACTAGACAGACAGAAAAGAAAAATAGACAAACATGGAAGAGTAAATGGTTCTTTCCATTTGGTGAAGGAGATCTAGTTTTACTGTCTACAGTAAATCTACCGAAACACGCAGTGACAAATGTGGGCAACAGTAAATTACTGGAAAATTCAATCGGTCCATCTGGTGTGGTGCGCATAATGTGCAACGAATACACGATTGAACTGCCCAGTAAGATGCGTACGCATCCTACGTTTTACGTTGGAACGTCTCCGCCCGTACTATCAATACGAGCCCGTTTCGAGATGCGACGAACACCTCCGCGGTCTAGAGCCTAGACCACATCAAGTGGTTCCGTTTCAACGAGCCAGTCTGGGCGACTAGCGCAGCGACCTGCTCAATAAGTGTGGAGCGATGTATCGACGAGCTGCAGCCAGCTCTTCACGAAGAGAACAAATAGGACGCTCGTTCTCATGTTGCGCAAACGCAAAAGAGGCACGATCGTCCAAACGATCGTGCGTTAATGAATCGTAATTATCCCTCACAAGATCCTCAAGCCCAAAACGCCGAGATCGTTCATGAGCCATGTCATCTTGCAACTGTTCCGTTACACGGTTCAGCTCTTGAACATCAAGTTGATCCGACCATCGAGCCGGATTAGGTGGGGAACACCACCACATCCTTGGGCGGACCCCAAGCGGTGGTCAACTCTTCCTAGTGGAGCGTATTTGAACCACCGCGACGTGAATGGCGTCCGGACGAGTTATCCTCGTCCGCTGGTGTGGGAAATCTGGGAGCCTTGTTCATTGATGATGTCCTGGGTCTCGTCGAGCAGTATGAAGAGACCCACCCGCTGCGTTTGAAGAAGGGCCATCGGAAAACGACCTTGCTGAACGCG